ACAACTCGCCGTTCACCTTGGCGTCACCTCCACACCCGTCTGAACGCTGACACCGCAGATCCTCTCTGCTCTATAGGCTGCCAACAAAACTGTCATCCAGCTAAGTGACATTTGTGCCGCTCAAGATTGGTGAGCATCTTATTAGAATTGATAATATTTGAGTGTTTTGAGATTTCAAGAAGCTGCAAAGGTTTCAGATTTTCTAGGTTATAATCGAAACGACACATCTGTGCTCATAAAAGACTTTGGGAGGTTTTTTACAATACACACTGCAGGATCTTTATTATGTGATGCATAATGCTGCTGTACTAATGAAGTCAGGAAGGGACTAAGGATCCCTGAAGACTTAATGCCTTCAGAAAAGAAGGAACAGTAGGCAGCTGGCCATGCCACCCAAGAAAATTCAATTGTCTTCAATACCATCTGCACACCTCAGTGACGCTCTCGCAGGCCTACAGTCTTCAACAAGCTCTCTTGTAGATTATGTTAGTGTTGTACTTAAACCCAGCATGTCTGACCTCTCACCACCGAAGAGAAGCTTCAATTATGTAATTATTCCACTTTATTGACAACAAACTAGCCTCTGTGTCTGCATCTGTCTAGAACTTGAACAATTATTTTTATGACATTCCTTTCAGCGGCCTTATCCCATTTGAGCACAAGTTCTCCACATAAATCCACATGGCTGCCTCCATTGTGTTCATGTCCTAAATATTAAATGACTTTCTTAAAACTCGCAGACTATACTGATCTGAGAAACCCAAATAAAACATAAAGGAATGAGCTTCAGCCAGTATACACAAGTCGCACACGCATTCGCCACTTATGGGTTGGATTGGTGTACATATAAGAAGTTGTTTGGTGCTTTCATTTATCAATTTATTATGCTAAAGGTTCATTCTCTAAGTTCCTTTGCTGCTAAATAAAGGGGTCTTACATACATATATCATCTAAACATGCACACTTTCAACTGCCAACCAATCCCCAAAACCCTCTAGAAAACAATACTACTTAGTACTTTAGAACTATTCTACAAATCAATATTACAACAACTAACCTTAAAACGTGTTATTTCTACAGATGACCCACTGCGATGTGTTGCTGAATTTTGGAACTGCTCTGGTCTCTCTTTTGTCTGCCTTGACTCAATCCTTCATGACTTTATCAATCACTAAAGTTATGTTGTAAAGAAGGGTGAACCATAACCTTCAACTTCTTTGACATGCTGTCATGGTAAACATTCAAAAGGAATAATGACTGAACAAAGCCAACAATATAAAGATGCTAATAATTACAAATTGTAATGCAGCAACAAATACCTGGATTTTGCACTAATTTTTTCATTGGAGAACTTATAGATCTCATGGTATCTTTATGTTGTTGTAAATGCATAATACTCTAGGCTCTTGTCGTCTCACGCCTAGCCTACTGCAACTCCCTTCTGGCTGGTCTACCTGCATGTGCCATCCGACCTCTGCAGCTCATCCAGAATGCAGCTGCTCGTCTGGTCTTCAACCTTCCAATGTTCTCCCACACCACGCCGCTCCTCCGCTCCCTTCACTGGCTTCCAGTAACTGCTAGAATCCACTTCAAGACACTGGTACTTGCGTACCATGATGCGAATGGATCTGGCCCTTCCTACATCCAGGACATGGTTAAACCGTACACCCCAGCACGTGCACTCCGCTCTGCATCAGCCAAACAGCTCGCTGCACCCGCACTGCGAGGGGGACCCAAGTTCCCATCAGCAAAAACACGTGGGTTTGCTATCCTGGCTCCAAAATGGTGGAATGAGCTCCCCATTGAAATCAGGACAGCAGAAAGCTGACACATCTTCCGGCGCAGACTAAAAACTCATCTCTTTCGACTCCACTCCAAGCGATAGAATTACTAACAAAGCACTTATATACTAATAAAGGGCTGGCTTATCTAAAGCCAGTTGAGTAGCTCTTGAAATGTTTTAGCTCTATGAAACCTGATGTGCTTATATGATTCTGTTTTCTTCAAGTTTGTATCTTGTTGGTCGTAAGTCGCTTTGGATAAAAGCGTCAGCTAAATGTAATGTAATACTCCCATCATTTTTTTTGCCAGTTTAATAAACTGAGGAGTTGTCATCTGAACTTTCTAGTTTAATCCAGGATTTGGTCATGTAAAGATCAGCAATCTCCTAATGCCACATGAATTAAGTGGTTCTGGATTAGTAACATAAAACACATTACACACAGTGCTGCCATTGTTGGAATCTAAATAAGTCTCAGTATTAATTGAATGTCTAAAAACTGTCAGTGTGAAAGAAGTATCCATACAACACAAACAAAACATCTTATAGTTTAGATTTGCCACAGACAGAGACCTTTCATCACTTCAGCTTTCCGTCCTGCATGTAGGCGCTCCTCTGGGCAGAGATATGCAGAGAGCAAAAGAAAAGTGGGCCCTGATAAGTAATACCTCATCATAGTATACAGCCACAGCCTCTTTTGGTCACAAAATATAGCCTCAATAAAGCTACACTATTAACCACAGCACATACATATATTAAAAAGAGGGGGGGAACTGAAGTAGCTCAACCTCTTACACATACAAAATACACTTTATAATGATGCATATAAAAACACACATGACCATAAAACTAGCCTCCCTCTCATTTAAGACTGAAGAATCAGCATTTTCCGAATAGCACTACTTTTTATGTGGTATGGAAAAATATAATATGACTGGCAGGCAACACACTACCAACTCGTGTCCACCTTCTTTAAAGTACTTTTACATTAAAAAAAAGAGGAAATTGTATCATTCCAATATTCAAGCAAACCTAATCATTGATAAAATAAAAACTGTAACACTTATTTGTTTATTGGATTCTAATTAACTTGACATTTGAACAGTGCGAGGAAAATGTCCTGCTTCACTTTGTCTCTTATTAAAATATTGTTTGAAAACAACCACGTCTGCTTTGTCCGGGGCCAGACATGCCCTTTGTGTGCTTTGTATCTCCATTGTGTTGAAGTGGTAAAGAAATGAATGGCAGCACGGCCTGGCTCTTGCTCTAAAGCAGCTGCCGGCACGAGGTACAATAAAGCACTGATTTAAATGTATTTTCTTGTTATTAAAGTTAGTCTCGCCCTCTCTGTATATGCGTGTCCTGTCTCTCTTTTGTGGTTCAGTTGAAAACATTGCTCGGGAGAGTTGAACTAAGAAAAACTGATCATTGTGTTTAGAAGAAATCAGGTAGGGACATATTGTTGGAATCATAATACTCACACATGTTACCATCTGTTCTGTTCACAAATTCTTTCTTTACTTTTTTTAAGAAATCCTTTGTACTTGATGTGATTTGAAGTGTTGTCTTTACCGAGAATAAAGGCTACATTACAGTAAAGGGATTTCAACTTTCCAGACGGCTAGAGCTGTTCTATTATTAGCTTTCATCAACTTATACATTATATACACACGACTGACAACTCTTTTTCAAAAGTATCATTGAGTAAATATGTTTGTAAAAGCACCAAGAGTGAACTCTCCAATATTTTTGTTGTAGAAATATTGAAGTATTTAGTCAAAAATGATTGAATTTATATTTGATTATGTCTAAATAGCCCATCTCTTTTTGAAGTCAACTGAAACACAGTATCAATAATCATAGTTTTGTGAGAGCAAGGTAATGATATGTTAAATATCCTTGTGTCATCTTTTGGCAACCAAAACAATGGCTGACTAAAAACTTGCCAACTTAGCCAACGTTTCTGAAACTTTCTGTTTGAGTGTGCAGGTAAGCTGAAGGTTATTCATAACTGCAATAATAAATCCTTGAGGGCTTCTACTACACACAGATAAAAGGTGGGTACTCAGGTTTAGAGATGATGGGATTCCTGTGGCCAGGCTCATTTTGCCATTGCCATTTCGACTCGGTTTGTCTGCAGCGCTACAGATGACCTGTCTCTTTCCAGGGTCAGTCACATAAACAGTAGGAGACATTTTCCTCTAGATCATGAGGTGGCCGTGTACATGCCATCAATTTCATGGCACATTTTCAGCATTCTTTGCTTCATAAAAAGTGTAAGTGGCCAGTTTCACTCATCTTTAGGATTTCACTTGATGTTAAAAAGAGCTGAGAAGTACAAAAGGAGTCAGAGTAATGACGACGCAATGAGGAAGTATTAGAATTCCATCGTAGGTAAATGTGAGCACACATCCTTCTAGAAACTATAGCATTGTTCACTAAACTATATCTGATTTTCCACAAACACAATTAACAAAATGATTACTTCGCTTGCAGCACAGATTATTTCATCTCAAGTGTGTCTGCTGTACACCTGTGTTGATTTAGTGTGAACTAAATTCAAGTGTAATTATCTTCATATAGTCAAACAGTTTCATGATAAATACCTCATTAATTAACACCGACTCCACAATGGAGCAAAAATTAGCTGCACTTGCAAGGCTGCAAATTAACACTCTCGTTATTTGGCAGCAAGTTTGGCAGTCGGAGAAAAAACTCGTCACACTTCCTGGTAGAGCTCATTTGATATACTCAACATCTCTGTCCTAGGGCCATTTGAAAACAAAGCCAAACAAAAGCTCCAACCCCACCAATTACCCCTGTTTGGCTCACAGTCATTTATCTTAATACACCCCTAAGCCAGAAAAGTTTTATTTTTTCCTCCCAAGAGATTTAAATATGTTATGAAGCGTTGACACTCCAATTCTAAGAAAGACGGGAATTAATTAGATACACACAAAATGAGAGCACAGCGTAATGCAGCACAAACTAATTTCATAAAGGAGGACTTTGTTAAATCTCAACCTAATTGGAAATTCTAATCCTATGCCCAAAAAATGTTTTAAAATGAAGTGTTCTGCTTAGTCCTGTATTACCATTCATGAGTTAGTTCCAATTTAACAAAGCAAACTGTTTTTCCCCTTGCAATATCAAAAGAGGCACTTCAAAGAGCACGGAGGCAGAGATGGACAATGGGCAGCTGATGTAACCAAACACTTACTTGTATAAGACTGTCTTCAGTTCCGTGACATCACTGGTCTGCACCTGAAACACGAGACAACAGCAGTCAGATTTATAGCTTGATTTTATCGATTTACTCATTCAGCATCGTTCCCATCTGAAAGCTCTGTGAAAATAAAATAAAAATGGTAATATGCACCCCGAGGGGAGATGAGTTATCCATTCTAAACATCAGCAGAAAATCAAACTGCTGCTCAGAGAGAAAACCATAGGGCAATGGGACATAGACAAAACACTTTGAGGAAATTGGATTATGGTTAAGTAAGTATAACAAGGGTAGCTATTTGATTTAGCAGAAATCTGATGACCTTAGGAAAGTGTATCAAAAAATGTCTACAAGAAACACATTCATATCCAAAATATACTTACTTACCATACCCTTCTACTGAAATGTCGGTTTTAAAATTCTGTGTACACAAAGCAACATTCATTCTTAATGTTCATATTTTGACAACGCTGCTCTCGTGGTCAAGATATTTTATAACGTAACACAAATAATGTGAGACGCTGCAAACATTTCTGACCCACATGTAAACTCTTTATGAATTGCCATCTGGGTTGTTTGGAATGTAAAGGAAATGGAGCCTGAATCTTTTTGATCCTTTCAAGTCTTCTTCAAACAACATCACTCAAATAAATGGACTAAAAAGGTGTCTCTACAAACATACAGTATGAGTGTTGAAGTCATGGTCCTGTATTTGACTAAAAAGCCATACCACTGAATTATAGCAGCACAAACTAACAAAAACATGAGTTATGCCAGGCCGAGCTGTTATTTTTGAAAAGGAATTTAAATCAAACTAAGTCTCATACTTATGCCAATAAAACATGAATTGGTAAAAACCAACACTGCAAAGAGCAACCTTGTACTCACTTTGTCAACACTGTTTTGGTTCTAGATTCCACCTGATAAGAGTAAAGGGATGGAGTGGTGTTAATTGAGTGCAAAAGGACAGCAGCGTGCATGATTTTGGTTTTTGTCACAGTTACAAAAGCAATTTTCAAATAGCAAGAATGTTGTCGATTCCCACCAACCAGAAGCAAGACACTAATTGAATTAAAAACTGGCAAAAGCTATTGGTTAAAATATTTATTTTAAGCCCATATCAGTCAGGTTTTAGGAAGCAATCACACACGCGTAAATGCAATAGAGTGACTATTGCCTGCTGAGACATGGTGTTGCTGATGTCTCTCCAACACTTCAGCTTGTGGACTCAAGTCAATCACCTTGCATTGAGATGTATAAGCTGTATTGTCTATAGCAAACATCATTGTATTTGCTGGTCTCTTAGAAAGACATACTCAATAGTATTTTTATATTTGTTTGCCCTTACTGGAATACAAATTGCTTTGTCACTCAGATGGGCTCAGACTGACTGGCTTGTGCTTCATGTTCCACAAGATAAGTCTGATTTGAAGAACTGCTTTTAATATAAGTGCACCCGTCTCCTGGAACAAAATACATCATTTTCCTAAAATAAATTCACTTATACCTAATCAAAAACGGGGGTTTTCGACGATCAAAAGAGCTCCCAAGACAGATGCAATGAACAAAATGTTTCCATTAATGTCTCGACACAATTCAAAAAAAGGTCAAAAGTATTACAAAACATGTATTTTCTGATAGAAATATAGAAATATGTTTACCCTCACTCTCTATGCTTTGTTAATCAGCTGTAAACATATGAACAGAAAACACTGGATCTCTCCCAACTTGAGTATGACCTCCATGCTGTAATACAGCAGGAGCAGCAACACTTGTTGTGCTTCATCTAGACGCGGGTCACCATACAGTTCCATCTGTCTCATTTTGTAGTGTGAATACTAGTGTCAAAGAGATTACTGTCTTCTGCACTTGCATGTTTCATACAGTATCAAGAGGAGAGAAGGTCACTCTCTAGTTTCAAATAATTGGTTGTTGCAACAAGCCTTTGAACTACTACAAGGCTCTCAGGTTACTCAGCTGTACATCTATCTGGCAGATAGCAATGACAAAGCTGTTGGTTATGACGAGGAATATCTAACAGTCAGTTGGGTACCAAAAGCAGCTTGTTTATAGTCTATTTGACAGTCTTTGCATTAAATGATTTGAAGGTCTCAAGCTCGCGTGCTATTGAGGTCTGGGTGAATATTGTGTTTGTTATGACTCTTACATCTTAATATTCCCTGTTTAAGTTTTAATCTCAACTCTGACAAACTAACACAAACTATATTTGGAGCATTTTTTTTTTTGTAACAATATAAAATTAAATATTGAACAACAAGTACTCAGCACTTTCTGGGCATTACAATATTAAAACCAATGGGATCAACATGGAGAGTGCCAACATAAGTTCATGTGGTACCTTATACAGATTATTTCTAAGAGAGATCATTTACGCATAACCTAGACATGTGGATAATATTCAACCATTCAGCTAAAACACTTTATAGCATTTCAATAAATAAAAAAAGAGTTTGTAAAAGGTTAAAATCACATTATGATAACCAAAAACGCTCGCCCACTGACTGTGCAATGTCTCATCTTGGCACGTAGAATTTACTCAATTAGGGTCACTAAAAACTCGATTTTGGCCTTTGCTGATTCAAACATTTTACGGGGGAATGATTTTTCTCTTGTCTTTAAGACCTGCCACTGTTGAGTGAAAATGTAATATTTAAAATGAGGCTGCAGCAGCCTGCCTAGTTCAAGTGGGAAGTGTTTGGGGCAGATTTGAAATGGACAAGGATCAATAAAAAGGGGGCTGCTAAGGCACATTCTTTGTTTGAGAGGGAAATGGTTTAGAACAAAAACTGGATGAAAGGTTTGTATTAGTCCTGTAACTATCTGACTGAGAATATGGAGCCAAATCATTCATTCTCCACTGGCCTGGAAGGAGGAGAAATACTAAAACAAACAAGCAAATAGACTTCACTAGACCACTTGCATTTTAAACATCAGCCCCATCTACACAGCAGGGAGACCTCAATCTCAACATCATTGGTTTAAATAAAGCACTACGAAAAGCATCTCCAGGCGGAGAGAAAATAGATCAGGAAGATGAGTGAAAAAGAGTAATCTCCCTGACATATTCCTAATAATCCACCTCCCTCGTGCCGGTCCCCCCAAGCTCACCCAATCATAAAGTGTCAACACTGACCTACAAAAAGGGACTCCCGTCAAGCCTTACATGTTTAAAAACATCAATCACAGCAGACAAAGAGGGTACATTGAATTATACAGCATTAACCTTCAGGGTTTGCATATAAAGACCATAGATTTATTTATGCTTGTGTGTTAAGGTCCGCGGCACTGTTCCTTACAGCAAGCTGGCTGCCAAATTGATGAACCTGCCCAGCCCTCAGCAGGAGGCCACAATCTTTGATTAATGAGTGCAAACTTGTGGAAAGGGTAAGAATAGGAGAGACAAAAAAAATGGGAGAAAACACAATTATTAGCAGTCCTTTTTTTTTCCCCTTTCAAAAAGGCCAACGGAAAAAGGGGCACTTTTAAAAGACCCAAGGACCATAAAGAGGGGAGACCCTCATATTATGTAACAACAAGAGGGGCTACAGAAATTGTTTTTGTGATCCCCACTCAAAATGTTGAGCACTGTTCAGCAAAGCACGACCAATTGCGGATTTCACAGCTTCTCTTAAAACTGGGGAAATATTTAAAACAACTTAATCCACACTACTGTTTAGACCTCACGCACAAAACTTTACCCAATATATGTGATGTATTGCTATGAGAATTAAGATTATGCTTATAGTACCTATTTGAAGTTAAAGAATAAATAGTTTCTAATCAATTAAACACAACTTGAATTAATAATTTAGCAATTATAGTTTGAAACCAGAAAGAACAAAACCATTTAATATCGTTTTAACATTCAAAGCTGCTGACTCTTGAGTTTTTTTTATGTTAAAATTGCATATTAAAATCCAAGTATACAGCATCACAACATTGTTCTCTCTGCAGAGGTTTTCAAGGACATGTGCTCTGAATAAATATGAGGCAAATTTAGTGACCTTCTACCTGTGTTTTGATTCATTGGCAGTTACTGGGTTCATGCATAACACATCAAGGATGTGATCTGATTTATCTCGCTGCCTTGGCTACTGAGGCCATTTAAATGATGGACTTTACCAGCAAAATGTTTACTGCCATTTCACTTAGGACTGTGTGTGCAAAGGGCACACTGGATTTTATTACTATCAATTATATCTGTAAAGGCAAGTCAGTTCAACTGCGCAAACAAAAAATGTCTGCCAAAACAGTCAAACAAGGTAAATGTACAGCAACAAAACACGGTTGTATGAGCCCAAATTGTTCACAAAGCATCACACACCGTGTTTCCAATCCCAGGTCTAGATAAGCTTTAGCTCTCTTATTGTAATGCTGGCTGACTGTCATTTGGACACCTGAATACAACAAAGCCATCGTTAACGCCATTAGCAACACCTGTGCTTTACTAACTGACAAGTAAAGATGAATGCAGTGAAAATATGTTTACCTTTTCAAGCCTGATTTTAATTCATTTAAGGTAGAATAGGTTGTAACATAGTTGTCTTTAAGGTTGCAATTTTAATGTAGTCAAATGTTGTCATGTATTTGCTTCGTCGCCTGTGTGTTTAGAATTGACGAGGTACTTTTTGTTATTCAAATATACTGTATAGATGTTTTTCATTTAGAGCAAGTGAAGTATGCCCAGCAATAAGTGTTTTGATGATTATTTGTCTACTGTCACTACAAGGTTTACAAGCTGAATTACTTAAACTAAGCCAAACATATGACATGTCATCACAGGAAGAGGAAAGTGGTTGGATTGCAGTTTCATAAAATACTCTATCAGTTTTGAAATCTTAAAACTCCAAACCCTATTTATTAAAATTGTTTGATTAAAACACTTCTTTCACTTTCAACTCGACATAAATAGAGGTTGTATTATTCATGTTTCCTCCTCCAAAGTTTCATAACTTTGTTACAGATAAACACAGTTTAAATCGACAGCGCTAATCTAATTTAAATACCCCAAAATGGCGAATGCCTTGTTGTTAATATGAAAGCAGAAAAATGGAGGGTATTGTCATAATCTCAAAGGGTACATTTCAGCCCACACCGCAGCTGCAGCATTAGCTGCGCTCTCCATATAGGAAGAAACAACAAAAAGAGAAGATAAAGAGGAGACTACCACGGCGGGCAGCCCCCTTTAAACGCTCACAACAAATGATTTAAGATAAAACATTTAAAAAGCCCACCTGTGTTATATCCAGTTATTAGCCCTTTTTTTTTTTAAATGTTGTCACGCGAATCGTCCACAACAAGCATTAGCCAAAACCATACACTACTTTATGATGCAGTCCAACGCGAGGCGTTAAAACCCATTTATATGTGCGAGAATCAAACTTATAGACATGTGTTTATCACCCTGTCCTGTTAACGTTTTCGGACAGACGGTGGATCCGCAGAGTGGACTAGCTGGCAACAAAGACAAGATCCATGCTGCAAGGTAATGACAAGACTGAGCAGCCTGAGCCAAGTACCGGTGAAATGTTAACGTTAGTTTCTCTACGTCCGAACACTCTTCTTGTGACCAGGGTAAAAGTGCAACATGACAACAGTTACATTCCGAACAAAGTTTGAATCAGAAACATCCGTAAACTGTGTATCTAGTTTGACGCGAACTTTTTTGTTCTTGTTAAATAGCCGCGTTGAACTCACGGAGTCGATAACGCTTCAATGAGACAAGTGTATGAACAGATGCTACTGTTATAGCTAACAAAAAACGTTAGCTTAGCTGTTAGCCCAGGCGACCGAAATCTGTGAAATAACACATTAACTGAACGTACGTTGGTGACAAACACCTAGCAAAAACATAAACAATTAAACTCACCCCATCTCTGAAATTCGATGTAATCCTTTGAAAAAAAAAGAAGCGAAACAAGGTGATGATTTACTTCCCAGTTGTGTGCAGTTTTTGGGATGTTAAACAGACATGAACGGAGAGATTGGTCAGTGTTTAGTTGGCTCCGGGTGGCAGTGTGACTAAGTGTGTTGCTCTCTGTTCGCAGATTGAAGAGACTCTGCTCCGCTTCAATCGGAGCAACTCAAGATAAGTGACGTCAGCTCCACGCTCCGACAATGCAAACTTTTGTTTCCCAAAAACTGCAGCCAGCAAGTGCACAAACTGTCAACACCAGCGAATATACTCCTCACATCTGTATGAGGCGTGCATCTGATGCCCTGCAAGTGTAAACAATAAATGAAATCATAGCTCACTAATGATGATGCAGGCATTGTCAAAACGGTATTGAATATTGATATATTAATAATAATAATAATAATAATAATACACTGCTCACCAGTCTTTAGCAGTAATGGACGAAGTAGTTAGATATTTGAGTATAGTAATACTAAAGTTTAAACAACTATTACAAGTCATGAGTTTAAAATCTTGTTTAAGTAGGCTAACAAAATATAAGTTTCAAAATGTACTTAAAGTATCCGAAGCAAGTAGTCAATATGCAGAATGGCCTATTTCAGAATAAACATTTGTATAGTATTTGATTATAGTTATTGATGGATTGTTTGGAGTGTTCAACACTTTTATATTGCAGATGAAAAGGTGGAACACATTTTCATATTTTGTATTAATAATCTAAATATGTAACTTGAGTTGTCAAATAATTGTAGTGTAAATAGTGATATGAATAATAATAAATTATATTTTACATTTTCAAATGCTACACATTCTCAGGGTTTATTTAGAACTCTTCAGAAGGGTTAAATTAAAGCCAAAGTTTAAGGTTATGTTTTTTTTAATCAAAATAAAGGCGAAATAAGGTTTAGGGATGGACTGTATTGCATGGGATAATACAATATTGTGCAGACATTCTAATAGTCTGTTTTGTTATTGATAACCTAAGGAGGCTGGGTGAGTAGCATTGTCTTTCTGACGAAGGCATGGAGAAGATACTGTAGAGTAGAGTATCATCTGAAAGAGAAACTGACATACAAATAACTAAATAATGTCTTTATTTTTTTAATGGTGCTTTAGTTGGTATCACTTCAGTGCAGGCAACAGTTCAGGTCAGTCTTATTGTTCCCAGGCAACATTTAGATTGCAGCATTACAAAAACAGACACATCAAAACACTGACAAAGCTCTGTATGTAAGGCTACATCAAAGCAAACTCATCCAACATCAAATGCAGTAAAATGTCAAAAGTATAAGATGAACATGCAATAGCAGTAAGAATAAAAGGTGTGTGCGTAAGTAAATATAATCTAAAAAAGGAAAACCACTAAATAAGAGCAATTAAATAAATGAAAACTGTAGATCTGTGACAGTCTCAAAGGGAGCAGTGTAAACTATTTTTTCCTTTTTTAAGGGATAGTAGTCTGCTAAAAAGTGTGAACTGCTTCGATGAAGTAACCAATCAAACCAAATGTTTAAAAACCCATAGAGAATACATTAACAAGGCATTGCAATACATCCTGTTCTTCCAAAAAGTGACATCAGTTTCGCAACCATCTGCCTTTTTTCCTCATCGTTAAGCAAGCATACAATCTGCAACAGGAAATGAGGTGCATTTTATCATTAAACTCACCGACAAACATTTACAGCACATTGTAATTAAACATGTAACAGTATGAAACGGTATCACTTATAAGGACTGATTTAATTGTGTAGATCCAGTGTTTAAATAGCACAAATTATGATACAGCTTTTGTAAGGAATTGTTATAGAATGAGACATTTGCGTTGTGGGAGGTCAGAATTAAGGTAATGAGATTTCTGTGTTTATTTCTGGATGAATAAAACAATGTCACTTGTAATAAGAGTATCTTGCATTATATTGTTCTGTTTGAAATAATGTGTTTGTTTTAGTGGATGGAGTGGATTTAAATGTATGCCATCTTTAGCCTAAGCACATTGGACATGACGTTTATCTAATTAGATACAGTAATTAAGGCAAGCATATAAAGCAGTGGGGGAAAAAAAACATTTGACAAATAACCATTTTAAAAGGGTGCTTGTTCACCATCCCTTGTGTTCATTGATTTTTCTCCATCCCCCCTCCTTTACTCTGTGTCATTTTAGATGCTGCAGTCACAGTCAAAGGAGCTACTGACTGAACTGAGTGAAACACGCGTGGCAGGAAGATCACACATGGTGAAATGGGGGTAAAAAAACTGTTAGATAAATGTGTCAGCCGAGCCACAGGATACCTGTCTTTTTAATTGTATTGGACACATTTTCATCAGAGTGAATGAGCGATGAGAGAGATCAGGGCAGCGCCACTTCCAAAAGCCTTTTCCGACCATGGTTTTTCACATTGCACACTCAAAATGTCAGCCTACCTTGGTCATTTGTAACATACTAAATCGCAGTCGATGGCTGCAATGCAGCAGCATGCTGGGGGAAGGGCAAACAGTCTGTCTCCCTTTAAAAGGATTTTTAAAGAGTCTTGATTAGAAAGTATAATGAGATACCAAAGTCACAGCAAAGATGATCTCTCTAGAGACTGATGGAAAACAAATTAAGATGGTGCTTTTGTTTTTAATTATTATTTTTCTATCAGTCCAAAGAAAGCTCAGTGTACCCGTAAGGCACAGGAGTTGGACTCCATGTCATTGATTTTTTTTTCTTCTCCTGTCATATTTGAATAATGCAGATTTTAATCGTGTCAGCACACAATGCTCTGATCCCTTTAACACCAAAGCCTTCCAGCACTGTACATGCATTTGATTTAGAAAATGGCACAGAGCTAAAAGCTAGGTACTTTGGTCACGTAAGTTTGCATCTGTGTGTGTGTGTGTGCCAGTCTCTGTGTGCCAGTCTCTGTGTGTGTGTGTGTGTGTGTGTGTGTGTGTGTGTGTGTCACACACCATGTGATTTGATAGATATCATATCTATGACCTTTGTTTTTGGCTGTGCATTCATAGGGTGAATCATGGATTGCAATGATTTTTTTTTAAATATCGTATCAAATACATATGTGGAATTACAAATTGTGAACACAGTCACTTTTAGGGTTTCATTTTAAGCGAACAAATAGGATAGTTAATAATAAAGATGCAGACCTGTATGAGGTAAAGAATTGAAGAATACTTTGTGTTGACATCATTTATTTGATTATACTGCTTTTCTAGAATTGAGTGCAGTCATCTAAATACTGGCCTTTATTTTGCTCTGTTAATTGGAGCATGTTCCAGGATAGTGAATGGGGGAGAAACATGAGACTTCCAGGACATGAGAAACAGATGCTCTACAATACTGTGGACACTGATACCTTTCCTGGGAAAGACATGAATGAGCTGAAGAGAAATAACTGATATGTGGAGAAAGAAAAAAGAGACGTGAGATTGCGGTGAAACCGGAAAGACAGGAATAAATTGTGACTGAATTGAGTCTGGCCTTCTGCATTTACACAAAGGCCTGATTTAGTACAATTTCTTAAGAATTAAAACACTTTGAAGTGTGTATTTTATTGACACATAACTATTCCACAGGCTTGGTAAGCTTGTTCATATCCAGTGTGCCTCTCATTTCATTCCATTAGTCGTGCTACTGTATGTCATATCTCATTCATGCATACCAATGTCCATTTTAATTAGTCATTCTGGGTCAATGCAGACCTCTCCCTGCTTTAAGCAGCGGTGTGACAGATGTGTGAATGAAATCACGTGCTGTTCTGTGAGTTAAAATGGGCCATTAGAGTCATTGTGATGAGACAACAGCCCCTCTATGGTTATAAAATGCATACAGCCCAGTTCACGGAAAAGATGGTTTTAGCGATGTTACAGCATTAATTACTTTAGTTACAATCCGCTTGCAAAAAATAAAAGGTTATGCCTAAAAAGGTTCATCCCAAATTAAATTCAAACCCATTATTTCTCAAAAAATCTAATGAGGCATTTTAGTATATTAGCATTACAATTAATTATCATAATTATGCCCGTGCATGAAAACACATTTAATAAACCCATCCTTTTGCATGTCAATACACATTTTCTCTGTTGCAGCTGACAAACACTCTTTTCCGAAGCATTATAACAAATTACAAATCTGCGTAGTTTCAGCAGACCTTGCTCAGCCTGATAATCAGATTCATTTGCCATTTTGTTTTCATGTCATTATTCATTCTCAACTAATTCTATTTGTATTGCTTAAAATAGAATGTGAGATGAGGGCAGAAATTCAGAGACCAGACTAGAATATGTATACTGCAATCACACTCCAAGCTTTCCAAATGTGTCATACAGCGTGCCATTCAAAAGCTCACAGCATCTGCTATGGAATCTCTAATACATGATACTCTGTTGCGCGTAATGAGTGTGAATCACTCTTTGGCCTTTGAAAATCTGCTACATTTGAGTTTTGATGAAAACTGTATAATTAAGTTATTTTTAAACTATGTGGATTTGAGTTAATACATAATGGATGTTGAAGTGATGAATGTTTCAGTTACATTAGTGTTCTTCAACCACCATTATTGATTATTGTATGCCCATTTTACAATAGCTTTTAAAATTACTGTATACAATGATATTTATAATAAATAACATATAATAAAACAACAACAACAACAACAACAACCCTAAAGACAGATTATATTGAGACCTGTCAATCAATTCCAGAATGACAGCAGGGTCTGATATTTGATCAGGCTTTTGTTCACATTTTTAGATATAGGATGTTAAGGCTTTTATTGACATCTAAAGAAGGAAATGATTCCTCGAAGTCTATTCACGCAATAATCTTTTAAAACATTTTTCTAAATAGTTGGTTTTTGTGGAAGAATACTTTTTAGAAGCAATAGTGTAATATCTCCATTCGTGCACTTCTGCAGTTTTGGACCTTCGTCTTCCATACCATGTTAATTATTTGCCACCACAGCAAGGTTTAAGCCTTTCTTAATCATCAAAAGGACTTTCACCTCAGCCTGGAGAAAAGACAAGCCTTCTATAACTATAACATCAGATCTTGTATTACATCTATTATAATTACTTCCCATTATAAATATATTTATGGTCTATAAATGAACAGGTGTTTTTTTTAGTGTTCCGATAAATTAATGTTCAACAAAACTCCTTGCACAAACATACCAAAATAAATGTATTCAATGATTCTGGACCTCATTAGTAAAGAGAATCCCTTCACAGTGATGTCAGGAGTGGGACTTGACAGAAATGTGAATCACTGTCCCACCTTGTGGCCAAACCTAGAAATGACCTGTAAAGCAGGGACGAAAAGGTTATTGTTATGGCTATCTCTTAGTGTTTCACATGAATTAATGTACACAGAAATGCTTTGGATAGTTCATAACAAGATTTTACAAACATTGAGAGAAAGTACACAATAAAATATTCATACATACTGGGGATTTCTTTAGGTGAGACTTCTTGAAAGGTCTAAAATTAAATGTTTGATTGAACAGGAAAACAAAAAAGATTCCCTGCCGACTTCTCTCAGTTCTGTTTAATCTCGGCCCACGCTGAGATGTCAACAGAGCTACTGGACATTTGAAGGGAGTGGCGCTTTACACATGACAGTGATTTAGACATCCTTTCAGAACTAATGAATCTCTATCCCCAATTTCAGTGTCCTTCTTCATCCTTCTGCTCATGCAGTGACATGTTTATTTAGTAGAAACATTCAAAATAGATCCCAAAGAAGTCTATTTCTTCTCACTTTGCTAGCTTTCGACACTGCTGGACAACACACGGCTGGGAAGCCTGGTAACTACTGGTACCTAGCGGCATACTAGCAACACTCAGATCAATTTAACAAAGTCAACAACAAACACTTCTAATAGTCAAACATACTTTATTATGAAAAGCACAAAGGGGCTCAGATACAAACAAATTATCCTCAAGTATTGCAAAAAATAATAATCAACTGTATTAAGAAGCCTATTTTACACAATGTAATAAAGTGTCATCATTCTGGAGTATACCCATCACACAGCCAAGTATTGATTATCATTAATGTTCACAGGAGGAGTTACTTTTTCCACTAACAAAATCATTAGGGCACTCCTAAGAAATAAAGCACAGATAATTCAATAATTGGATTTCATGTGGCAGGAAATATTTATATAGTTTTTTATATATATATATATTTTGCATCTTTCAACAGGGTAAACAGTGCATAAAGGACTGGCAATGTAGATTAATAATATATAATATAAACTCTGGAATAAATGAAGACATCTTCAGTGTTGTGATTTTACTGGCTATATTTGTTTTAGTCTTGTCACAATATAAACTCAAGCACAGGATAAAATGCAAGGAAATGACAAAGTACATTCTCTGGCAGTATTGGCTTAGGACAGCTTTCCATTACAAAAAATATATTTATAAAGAATCTGCTTTACGGACTGTGCAAAACAACATTTACATGCGTGGAGTAACGTGGCAATTACTCAAGCTTTTGTTTGGATCAAGCTATTTACATGTGTCCCTGATAGCTTGTGATTGATAATACCTGTTTCTCTGAATGCTGCTTTAACCGGGAAAGACATGAAGGAAAACTGTAATGGATGGCATTGTGTCGCTGCATCAGTTGACCCTAATAGTACAATCTCCATCTTGTTAGTCTCACTAACTCACAAAAAAGTGTATTTAATCCCTTTGCGCTTGGTTTGCGAAGAAGAGCAGAAGTAGTGGGATGTTTATGTGCCGCAATGATAGGTTAGTATTAGAGTAAGCCTGCAGGCAGATTTATATTGTGAGTCGTAATATTGATATGTGTTAACCAAACACTAGTTCATTAACTGTTTTTTTAGATTGAACTTCTCCATGCATGAACACCCACCTATTAGGTACTGTAGGTGCTTCCTTTTGTGAAACAGAGAGTAAGTGCTCCTATGGCACGTTGTCATTCTCCTCTGCCTCCACCAGGCAGGACCGGTCTGAGTCCAGGACTCGGAATGGAGGGTGGTATTCAAAGGGCGTGAAGATAGAGGTACCTAGATTGCGCTTCTGGTGAAGGAACCAAATAACTGCGGAGACTCCCATGATGGCCACCACGCTGAGAATGACCAGAGCAGACAGCAGCGCACTGGGTTCTGAGGAGAACAAGAAACAATGCAAGGAAGGTCACTACAATAAACACTAAATCACTGAGGAATAAGTAAAGAAACAGCTAAATCAGCTCAAAGGTCGACTTACTCTGCTTGACTTCCTCTGCCTCTGAAGAAACAAAAAACACATTGTGAGGCCAGTGGAAAACTATTTTGACTATATCTCCTGAAGACACATTACCTCAAACGTTTGCTACATGGACTTAAGATTTAAAAAAGACTCAGGAAGTTTATGAACATAACAAAAGGTCTAATAGACATTGTGACTTACATGTTGTACATCAAAAATTCGAATTCAAAGGAGCTTTATCGACATGACCATACTGTAGTATTGCCAAAGCATGTTGTATTATGTGTAAGGAGGTAAAAACAATACATGTGGCACAACAGCAAAAACATACATGCAACAAATATCAATCTTACTTTGATCTGTTTCGCAGACCACTCCATTCTCTGCCTGTTCCAGGCAGCTGACATTTTCCCATTTTCCTGTGTTGGTGTGCAGGGCCACACATGTATCCAAGGGCATAAGGTCTGATGGGGAAGAGCTGTCCTCCCAGTTACTGAATCCTACAGGTTTCTCACCAAACCACTTCATGTTGTCACCTGACAGGACACAACAACATTAATCCAGCACGACAAGAAGCAATAATACAGCCACTACCTTAATAATGTGAACCATTCATGTTTGTGGTAGCTTAACATAATTTACTAAAGTTGTGCTAGATTTGAATACAATAGGAGTGTTTTCATACAGCATTTAAAAAACTAGACATTGTGTCATGTTCTCTAAAATAAAGGAATAACTTAAACATGGAGCTGACACAAATCTAAAAACATCTGCAATAATTTTTGAGTTAAGACCAGTTAAGATTTCTTTGTCAAACTACTGTCTCTTTTGTAGAATTAACAACATATAATACCCAAACAAATAGACACCTTTCCAATTATGATCAATTGACTTTAAGACAAAACACTTTATGATAAATAAAAACATCCCCTTTGAGATACAGAGTTGGTCTTCCACCTAGTCACCTCCAAACAATTGTTAAAAGTTGAATAACCTTACTGATTGTTATAGCGAATCAAATTCTATCTCCTGGAAGTCAGCCAGCATGTCTTCACAGTCCTCCGGTCACATGGCACTTACTGTTTGTGTCATAATACATCCCCAGCCAAATGTTGACATTGTTTTTCCAGACCTCTGGGCTATATTTAAAGACAAAGTCATTCTCCTCAGCACTCTGGATGGTCAAAAGCTCTAGAAAAAGAACAGCAATGTATGACAAGAGAATAAACATCGAGAATACACACAATCCATTTGCCATTAACAAGATAGTTTAAAAAGTAAAAGTTGTTGGTACCAAACCCTTGGCAGAGAGTTTTTGCTCTATCAAAAGTGTAGCTTTTGATTTTGTCTTCTGCTCCATGGACAAAGTGGTAACACCCGTCTCCAAATGGCACCCAGGTGCGTCCATCTGCAGGGCAGTCTGAGGAAAAACATGGGACAAACTATGTATTTATTCGTAGCTGTTAATGATGACTTAAAAGCTACAGGATGAAACATTTACAAAAACACCATGTCAATTATAACTGACTTAAACTAACTTCAAGTTTCTGTAACAGAGGTGAAACTTTATGTACAGTTGAAATAACCCTTATGATTAGTTTTAACTTGTGACCACTGTTCCTCTTTATCAATGCAGTTGTGTCATGTTTGGCAACTGGTGTCTTGATTTTCTAGACTTTTATACACGTATTGTTTTCTGCTTTGTTACTGATGCACCTGTTAATTGATAAAATGGTTGTCCCCTCAATGGTGCTCTTACTGAAGTTACAATAAAAACACAATGTCAAAAATGTTGCCAGTTTATTGAAGAAGTCTCATCGTTGTAGCAAGGTTTAAGGTGGTTCTTTATTTACTCCATGGTTATTACTCTTCCAGTTTTACTCGTTTGAATGTCAACACAACCAGTAACTCCTGTAGCCTACATAAGAGGTTACTGCCTAAGTTAGCCACGAGGCAACTTAAAAGCAAAATAGAAAAAAATAAGATGTCCTTGAATACACCCACTTCTAACGGGAAACACGGGTTTATAATTTGCTTAAAAAAAACCTGTATCGCAACCATAGACTGAATATACAAAGATCGCAACCCAGGAAAGCACAACACTTTGAACGCAGTAACTAATGCTAACCCTGATTCAAAAGTTATGTTGCCATTAGCTCAACAACAGTGTCGACATTTGGGAAATGTGCTAACAGTACTAGAGCTGACGCCTTATCGTGAGAAATTGAACAAAAAGCAAACATAAGTACAAAGAGCAAACAGTTGCTGCAACGTAGGCCTACACAATGCTAAATTCAAGATACCACGTTCATTTAGCTTAGAGCGAATATTTAAACTCTTACCTCCCGTCAAACCCAATCGCAGCTGAAGAAACAACACAAGGACACCGCATGTAAATGATAGGGAACGCTGATGCTTCTCCGTTGACTCCATGACAGAAAAGATAATATTATATAATAATGTTGTAGCACAAACTAGTTCTCTGACTGTTTCCAACCCTTCTCTGTTTGACTATAGTGCCTGTCTGAAGCAGCAACGTGAGCGAGATCCCACCCACACACCACCCACGCACGCGCACGCATGCACGCACACACACACACACATACACACACACACACGCACACACACACATACATACACACACACACACACACACAAACACACACACACACACACACACTAATACACACATAACAGTAATACAGCCCACAAAAAGGGCCACAACATTACTAATAAATACTGTGTGTACACTCACAAGCCCGTACTGATATATAATACCCTCAAGGTTTACTGTTGATTCATGTCCTTACATTGCTTAACATAGGCTTAACGTATGCTTAACATACTGTCAACAAAAAAGGCAATTTAAACAGTTGGGATGTTATAACAATCTAACATATCTAGCAAGTAGAAATCGATGCAAACAGCGTAGAGCTAATGAAAAAGCAGGGTTTTTTGGTATAAACATTTTTTTTTTTTTAAAACAGACCTCCAGTGTCAGACTATAACACACACAAAAACCTCTTGGTGGTGCTGCAAGCACAGTGGCATATTGTGCCAAAAATCATAATAAGGAAGAAATATAATAAACAGAATGTTTATACAAATCCAGACTTTGTCTAAGAGAGCCCATTATAAAATGGTCTAAAAATAATAAAGTTGTACTGTTTAAATATATATATATATTTTTTTTATGATTCTAAATATAGTGTCTTGTCCCAAATGTATTGAGAATAGTTTTGATTCAGGGTGTTTCCTATCTGAGCAGGTGAGGAGGGTGGGGGCAGCAGAGAGGCTCAGGGGGGGGAGGGGTTTCATCTTCATTGCTTGCAGGCGCAGGTGGCACAAACACAGACAGCTGGGGGGTTAGTTTTGCTCCTCGTCTGGAGCTGGTGGCTTCCCGTAGGGTGGCACAACACTCTGCAGGAGACCGTGTGGACCCATCTGCCATGGCAAGGCCTGCTCACAGATGCCCCCTCCTCCCACCACAACGTACCTCCTGATACCCAGAACTCACCCTGCCCAGGCCACACATATTGTCCACAATACCATGCGACAGTGTTTATATAGTTCAAAATCAGAAATATTGGTTCATGTATGTGTATGGTATGAGATGGTCACTGTCACAATAATGGTGTCTGCTATAGGGGAGGAAAATTTCATCAAAGTGGCCTCTGTCAGCTGCTACGTTCATGGGGGAACAAAACATGTTTATTTTCTTCTCCCATTTTTGTGTTCTTGAACATTTGTCAATGAAAACCGACTCATGTATCTTTTTCCACTGTGTTTAAAAATAAAAACGATAAATGCAGAGATATACATGATACTTTCCATCTCCGAGGTGTTGGGACACCTCTGTATCTATCTTTTGTAAAGATACATTACTTTCAAAATGTTATTTAACACTTGCATATTATAAATTCTAATAAGACCAGATTCCTTATTGACAACAATCAAAATGTGAGAGACAAAGTCAGAGACTGTGTTTGGACTCAGCCCTTGCAAGCTTAAAGTATATTTTACTGGTGGACTATACCAATAAAGGATTTATTTAATTGTATAGTTTATACTCAATTATAGGTGAGCTACCGTTTATTCTCAATCAAATGTGAAAACACACACTCAGGGTTCAGGATGAAGAAAAAAGACTCGACTTACAATCAGTTAAAAGTTGAAAATTTTAAAAGGTTTTATTCAAAAATGTCAAAGAAAGGAAAAGAATAAACCTTAGGCAACATTCTACTGAAAAACAAAAGTCTTTGGCTTTAACAAACACTACAAAACAAAATTACAGAGGAAAGATTCCTTTAAACTGTACATACAAGTTACCACTGGCAATTGTGTGGCACAAGTTTAAAACAAATAATAAAACACTAAACTTTCATATAGCTCTATGAAAATCTCTTATTTTCTCAAGCTGTCTGTACAACAATCTTCATAAATTAGAACTTTTTTCATATAACTTAATGACTGTTCAACATGGTGGTAACTTATATGAGCATGTTTTCTTATGTGCACTTCTGCAACTCTTGACCCAGATACTATGGCACTTGGTTCAGACGCCACTAGCAGCATTCACCTCACAAGACAGTATTACTTCTCAGTCTTAGGCATTACACAGAAATATCAAGTATAATCACAGCAGCCCTTTACATTTGTTGCACATCCAAGTTAACTATAGAGGAAATGCTGCTGTGAGTTTGTCTAGACCCTCGGCAAAGCAACACACATGTTTGCTTAAAGGAGAACAGATCCAGTTAACCCCATGCTTTGTTCTCATTGTTTAAACAATTTTCAGCCTCTGGTATTTATTGCCATGAAAGCAGCTTAAACTATGAAACTGGATGTTTGAACATGAGCAGGAACATGTAGTTGCCTACTCAAATGATTACACTAATACATCATTAAAAAAAAATAGGTTTGAAGGAAATCAAAAAGTATTCAAAACGACCTATAAGGAAACAACTGTATGTGGCCAGCTCCTGAGCGTGGCATTGGGTCTGCAAGGTGGGGCTGGACCTGCTAACCCGACCTACTACAGAGGAGAAAGAAAACTCTGAGGTAGATAACTGGTCTCACTGACCACCAGGTCGAATCACAGGCTTACTGGAGGATACCATAATGAAATATAAGCCTACTTTAATCCACTAAGATCAAAACATTATCTGAATTTTTCTTTTAAGAAGGTTGTAATGCTCACCTATAATAGTATAAATGTTCTTTCTTTTCAACGTATTCATACCCATGATGCATTTTTATGTGTGAAATTAATTTGTTGCACTTCATGCTTGTGTCCGTACTGTACTATTACCTATGAAAACTGAACCTTATTGTACAAAAAAGGCACACTATCCAAACTGCAATCTGGTTTGCAGAGTCACTTGTGTCCTGGGTTGAAGAGCTAATTGATTTCAACAATGTACTATTTCACAATCTTTGGTGAAGTAAATTACAATTGAAAGTGCCTAGGTTGTTTTCTTTCAAAGAGCGAGGTGCAAACACACACACGTAGTCATCTTATTTTACACCCCCAACTCGCTGAACTTTTGCCTAAGTTACTTTACAAGGCTGCAATTCGTTTTTTTGCACAATCATAAGTCTATGTTTTTTCTGTTTGTTTATCAAATGTGAAAAAGACAAACCCCATCAAAAAAAACATAAACATCACCCAAAAAGACAAAAACACGAACGACAAACAAAACACGTTCCCCTTCTCATTCCCCCACCCCACCAAGTTCAATTTCATCTACTCTACAATACCAAGTAATCAAAAAGGCAAGATTCAAAAAGGTAACACATTCCAACATCCAGAAACATGAAAAGTCTTCTTACTAAATAAATATTACATTGAATTAAATCTCAGATGTGGACTCATTAAAAACGGTTTCTCTAAAATGTCTTCTACTTTTCTATTAGTTTTGTAGGGGAAAGCATTAACACATTGATTTAAAAGATTCACTAATTTCCAAGGCAAAAGCTCTCAACATTTTGTTTTGCTTATTGCTGCTCTCTGTGGTCAGTGTATCATAACTATGAAGGCAAATTTGAATCCGACAGCAAGATCAATCTAAATTACTAAGAGAAATCACTTTACAAGAAAACAACACGTAACACTTCACCAGAGCAACACTCACACAGCAAGCACAAAACATCATTTTCAAAATGTCAAAAAAGAAGTCTGGAAATATCAACAAAAACATATTTACTATCATGCACCTTGAACAACTAGTCCCGTGATACTTCTGTGTATCCTGTGGCAATCCTCGGTAAAAAATAAACGTTTTCTAGTATGAAAATAAAACTTTTTCAAAACATTTTTTTTTATATATATTGATGAAGTCAGATATTCTCTCTTAACATGATACCAAAAATAGTCTCACTTAAACATTTGCAGAACCTGTGCAAAACAGTGAAAAGATCCTCAGCATCCGTAGACATGATTGTTTCAGCTGTTGTTCCAAATGTTACCTCAGAACTACTTGGTTTGTTGGTAGGAATATGGGGAATGATTGCCGGAAGAGTCCACTTGTGACTGTGCGCCATTTTCCTGGAACATAGAGTCAAATAAAAATGAACTTCTGTTTTAAATAGCGATCATCCTTTACATTGCATTACATGGTATTTGGCTTTCATCAAAAGTGACCTACATTCATCAGGCTGCACGTACCTCTAAAGGAACATTTGATGTCTGCATGTGTGCATACTGTGGAATATATGCTCCTTGCATAGCTGAGTTTGCTGCCATGAACTGCACAATAAAGGAAAGAGAGACATGTTGTATGTTCATTTACATTTTAATGAAGTGCTTCAAACACCTTGTTCCCAAATAGGTATGATCTGTGGGCTCATATGTGATCCCATGCAGAGTTCCCTTACCGTTCCTGCGTTGCCCATCGAGAGGTGACTCATCTGCTGCGCAAGAGGGGCCATCATGGAAGTAGGCTGTAGTGACATAGATGGGTCCATAGAGGGCGATAACACAGTACCCTGGAAGAGGAGTGTGAGAGGATGAGAGGAAGATTTGCAGCAAAGTCATTGAAGGAATATTCCCCTCTAAAACTGAAATACTACTGACAAACGAATCAATGAAAAATAAAATGCTAGAATGACGAAAAGGATGCAGAATATCTAGGGTTTAAATGTATATTGCAGGATTGGATTTCAGAGAAGGGAAGCAGAGTAATCTCAGACTTAACATGTAATGCCCACACCAGAAGGGGAGTAGACTCAAGTTGAGCAAGTTGTCTAAAAGCATCTTGGCTGGCCTGATGCAGCTTGTAATGTTTTCTACTCTGACTCAACGCAGGAAAATACTCTTCGCTCTCATTTCAAACCCATCTGTTGTAAGATATTCGTCATCTGTCATCAAATACACAGCTTCATTTAGTCTCTCCAAAGCAGTCGTTTTTACACTTCTATACAAACACTGCAGTACTGTAAATCCTCAAGGGTCCGTGGCACCTTATGTGTAACTACTTCTCTCCCATATTGTGACCGTCTGTTTACGGAAAAAGGTTACGCTCGTGTTACA